CAGCAACTTTTGAAATTTTGGTAGCAACTTTTTGGATTTTTGGCAATTTTTTAGCAACTTTTTGGCATTCCAGTGAGCAACTTTCCAGCATTTTACGATCACAATCGGGACAGGCCTATCGGATCTTCTATTTGCGCTTTGGTACGGTGCAATTAAAAGATCTAGCCAATCAAATCATGTCTCCAGAGCCAACTTTTTCTAGTGCCAAGAAAAACGGGACAGGTGACTCCGGGGAATTCTTACTCACACATGCGCATAAGAGCGATTTACCTGTTCAACTGGAAGCACCATGAACAGCGTTTGATTCACCCTCTCTCTCCTCTCTTTTACTACCAGTATTGCCCACCAAAACGAAATGTTACAGTGTACCTATTCTTACAAAATCGTCCATTTTAAGAGAGAGAGAGAAAAGTAAAATTTAATAAAATACTGGCTGTCTGGAATAACCATAGCAGCTACCGAGCTAGTGGAGCCAAGCAGCCCATTTAGGTATCAAATACAGTTCAACGCCTATTAAACGGCCACCCTCAAGGAAATGGATAGTGGCCGCTTAAAGAGGACTGGCCGCTTAATGGAGATAAAAACAATAGAAAAGCCCTCATCGGGACTTACTGACCTGATTCCTGATTACTGACCGGCTAATAGGGGTGGCCGTTTAATAGGCGGCCGCTTAATAGGGGTTCGACTGTCGATAGATAAACTGAAATAAAGGTCGGTTGACTATATTTACATACAATGGTGTAGCTTTGGGCTAAAAACACAAATTACAGTCAAAGTGGCCACCTATCAAACGGCTGTGAGAGCTTTTCTATTGTTTTTACCTCAATTAAACGGCCACTCCCCTTTATTCCCCGAGGCTGGCCGTTTAATAGGGGTTGAACTGTACCTCAGTACACAAAGGCCTGTGAAAGCGGTTTTTTAAAGTTATACTTGGGTCGCACAGCCTATATAGACCACCGTTCGTGGTTAACTGAACTTGTAAACGACGAACCCAGCATGTCATTGAGACTATCCCTGAAGTCAATGGCGGGTCGACGCAGTCAACTTGCAAATTTGT